GTAATACATCTAAGTTCTTATTTAATTTTATTTTATCTTATTTTATATTTTTTGGTTTTTTGGTTTTCTTGCTATGTAGCCTGGCCTGGCCTTGAACTCATGGTGATCCTCCTGCCTCAGCTTCCCTAGTGCTGGGATTATAGGTGCGCCACCACGCCCTATTTATATCTAATTTTTAAAAAAACACAAAGGGCCAGGGATTTAGCTCAGTGGTTCTGGTGCCTGCCTTGCAAGCGCAAGGTCCCGAGTTTGATCCCCGGTACCAAAAAAAAACAAAAAAAAACCCACAAAAAGGAGAATCAAAGCTTGGGCAAAGCAGTAATGTTAATGTTCATTGGATAAAATCAAATTTCCCAAGAAGTGTGTGGCACAAAAGAAGCAAACACTGTCGGTGGTAGCAGTGCCTTGTGTGCCTGAGTGCTAGGCCTCCTCCATTTCCAGGCCCCCGAGGCCTGCACTTGCTCACTGTCAGGGCAGAGCGGGGTGACTTGTTTTGGCGATTGGCCGTGAGCATGAGAGTCAGGTGTCTCCTCCTCTGAGCAGAACCCTGGCTGCCCTTGAGGCCGCCGCTGTCTGGTCTCTGCCCGGGGCATGAGGAAGTCTGCGCGCTTTGTGGGACGCACTGTCCCCAGGGCTCCTGTGTGACAGGCCTGGGCCCAGGCTGGTGCTATCAGGGGTGGAGGAAACTTTATGAGGAGGGGCCAGGCAAGAGGACTTTGGGGCCCTGGGGATGACTGTGGGGCTCCCCGGCCCTCTGTGGGTCACTCCTGCCATGATGCGTTGCCTGCCCCAGGCCCCAAGTGACGATGCCACCTGGTCATGTACGGAACCTCCAAGGCTATGAGCCTGAACACACCTTTCCTCTTCACACAGAGGACCTCAGGCATTTTGTCACAGTGACAGGAAACTGCCTGACACAGTGTCACTGCTCTGTCACAGGGCATCCACGGCAGATCTCCTGGAATGGCCTAGATCTAAATATCCCTCAGAATTCTACAAGTGTGGAAGGTGACAGGTCCATGAGGCCATGGATCAACCTACCGATGAGCTATTAGGAGCTGGGGCCTGATCAGGAGAAAGGGGTCACTGGGGCACAATGCCAGTGCCTCTCCCTCCCCAGCTCCACCCTCCTCCCTGCTTCCGGGCCGCCATGCTGTAAGCAGCTCTGTTCTGCCAGGCCGTTCCTGCTCAGAGCCAGGCAGCTTTGGACAGAACCTTCCAAAAGCCATGAGCCAAAATATACCTCTTCTCCTTTGAGTCGTGGGTGTTGTGTTGGGCATTTTATCGTGATGAGGAGAAAGTGACCAAGACACTTTCTATGAGCAAGAAACAAGTCTTTGGCATTTTAAGCCCCTGAGATTTGGGGACTGTTTGCTACTTAAGCATAACTCCTCATGGCCTGCCTAGTACATCTTTAAACCTGAACCCTAACATACCGAATAAACAACAATTAAACTACAAGAAGGACAAATAGAAAAAGTCAGTGTACTTTTCAACGTCCTCAGCCCTCAGTGAATCAAAAATAGAATATGTGGATGTGGTAATATAAAAAGTAAGGGGATTAAATATTTTCAGAATTTTAAACCATGTAAACAGGCATTCATCTTTTTAAAATTTTTTACTTTAGTGCATGTTTTCAGTACACAACGATTACATTCGTGGTGGGAAGTTGGTGCACAAATGTGACACACAACACATATTAATTCTTCCACGTCCCCTTCTCCCTCCCCTTCTCTCTCTACCTTGAGGCATTCATCTCATTTTCCAAGTATCCATGCGTCATTTACACAATTCATGAAAACATAGGAATTGATGATTTAATAAAGCAGAAGGTATGCAAGCACTGACCTCAAGCTTAAAAATACTGGAGTCAATAATATGAATTCGGCCAAAATTAAATTGCACTCGAAGGGGAAAAAAATCAAGACTATTGTAGATAAAATAAGAATTTGAGGAATGCTATAGACCAAACCTTCAGGATGTGGACAGGGCCAGGCTCAGGCATGAGTGTTCAGTTATGCATTTAGAGAATACAGGAAAGTGTGACAGAAACCAGTATAAATAACATTCGAAGCAATTAGTATTCAGAAAGTAAATTGATTAGAAGATAAGTTATTAGAATTAAGAGCTTATATACTAGTATCTTGAAAAAAATGTAAAGTCACTGAAACGGTTGACCTTTTTACAAATCTGACACTTGAGGGCCCGTGTCGCCCGGAGGGGCAACTGCTGTTTTATCTGTGTGACCCGTGTGTGATCCCCACGACAGGGAGGCTGTGCTGTCGCCCCCCGGATCTGCCACCATTCCGAAGGAGGGGACTGCAGGTCACAGGCCCAGGGAAGCTCCACAGTGGGAAGGCCACAGGAGGTCCACGGAACCGCCGAGACCAGGCCAGAGAGGCAGATGGGGAAAACTTACAAAGATAAATCCATGGGAGCTCAAAGGGCACACAGAGGCGGAAGGAATAGCGCCAGGAGCTGAGGTTGAATCATGGGCGCGGAAGCAAAATGCAGCCCTGGAGCAAGACAAGGAGGCGACCATGGTGGGGCAGGGCAGGTGCTCCATGGCCGCATGGTGGCATCCGGCAGTCGCAGTCGAAGTCGGCCACCAGGGCAGGGACACTGCTGATTTGTCCCTCACCAGGGTGGGGAGGGTGCAGGCGGAGGACAAGCGAGTGAGGCCCTCACTTCTGATCTGCTCACCCCGTGCCCTGGTGACCAGGCCCACCCTGGGCCCAGGCCCCGTCTCTCGGGGGGGAAGCGGAACCTTCCTAGCTTGCTGGCGATTTGTTACCTTTCTCGGTCACGTGTCTCCACAGCCCACGTCCCCTCTCCCCCACCACCCGCGTCTGGGAGCCCACGCCAATCCGAGCTCAGCAGGCGCTGGAGGGGCAGCGGGCATCCCTCCTTCATCCCGCCCCTCTCTGCCCCTTCGCTGCCCCTGCCGGAGGGCCCTTCTTCTCAGCGGCCCCCGCCGTGCGAATGTTCCCTTCCTTGAATCATCTTTGTGTTTGCCAACGGGATTGCACTCCACTTACATGTTGATTGAACCCAAGGCCTTTGCACTGAGCTGCAACCCTGCCCCTTTTTTCTTTTTCATTTGATACGGGGTCTTGCTCAGTTGCTCAGGGTGGGCTGCAATCTGGAGCCCTCTTGCCTCGGCCTCCCAGAATGCTGTGGGATCACAGGCCTGCACCCCAGGCCTGCTTCTAACGATACAGTGAGGCCCACCCGGCCCAGAGGACCAGGACTCCAGCCAGCCCTCTCACTGGGCCAAGTCTCCTGCAGGTCCTGGCTGTTGTCACCTGCCATGGGACAGAAGCTGCACGGGCTTCAGGCAACTTGAGAGGGGACACACAAGGCAGGAAGGAGGCCCGACCCGAGCACTCTTGGTTTGGGGAGTCCGTGGGGTTTGCACACATTTCTGGTTGCTCCAGTGCCTGGCGGGTCAGTCCTCACCAGCTTTCCAGCAGAGCTCCCTGGCTGGGATGACACAGGAGTCCGGGCTCCAGATGTGGCTGTAAGAGGAGGCCTGGCTGCCTCTCACCTCCTGAGCGGCCTGCGAGGACAACACTCGTGGTTTAGGCCAAGGGCCCTGGGTTCCTGGCAGCGTGGACGCTGTTCGCTGGGGAGACCCTGTGGTATCCAGTGGTGCCCCCAGCACCTGGGACTTGCAACCCTCCTGCCTCTGGGCTCCTGGAAGAAGCACCCGCCTCCTCAGCAGCACAGCCCACAGCTTCTGTGTGGGGCTTTCCTGGCTCCGCTTGGAGGGGTGCAGAGCTCATGGAGCCAAGGCACTGGCGAGCACTGGGGGTGACAGCTGTCACCCTGGCCAGCACAGGGACCAGGTCTCCAGGTGCAGGGTGGAGTGAGATGAAATGAGAGAGCCATGCCCTAGGCCTGGTGGGCTGGCCCAAGGAGGGGATGGAAATGGGGACTGGTGGGCAGGTGCCAGCCCTCCTGGGTGGGGCATCTCCCTGAGAACCTGCTGCTTGGGGACCAGGGGGACCCAGCTGGGATGGGGGCAGAGGACCCAGCGCTGCCCGCCACCTCCCCAGCAACAGTTCTTCTGGAACTATTTTTTTATTTTTTTGTACCAGGGATCGAACTTGGGACCTTATGCTTGTGAGGCAGGTAGCAGAAGAGATGATCTTTGAATTATGTAAAGGTTTCCTGCTGGTTTTCTGGAAGAGTTTCTAATTTAAATTATATACACATATTCTAAGTCTTTGTTCATAATTTCTCATTCAAGGCTCCACGGAGCTCAGGAACTCTGCTTGTTAGTAGCTTCAGCAGAGAGTAAAACCAGAGCCCCAGTTGCAAAGCAAATGGGAAATCTGAGGGTATCAGCTGCTGGGTGATGCCATGGTCATTCTCATTACCTCAGGGACGCTAGGTCCCAGGTGCTGGCAGATCTGTAGCAGGCCACTGCTGAGATGCCTGGGGTGCCAGCACCTGCAGGGACCCCGAAGCTTCTCCCCAGCAGAGGCCTCCATCTCTGGCGTCTTCCCCTAAGGACAGAGAGGACCCCACAGTGCTAAGTTCAAGTCCTCACAGCAGCTTCCCAGCCATCAGGTGCTGAGCAAGCTGGCCGGAATCTCTACATGGCTGTCCTGTCCCGGAGACTCAGCTTCAGCAGATCAGAGGGCATGGGCAGGCATCTGTGTTTATGCCAAGCTCCCCACTGGGACTTTGGTGCAAATAAAACTGGAATTGTGAAGCTGGCTGATAGACAGACTTGGAGGAAAAGGCCTCATCTTGACATTCTCCCTCTGCCTCAGACTAATTCCTAAAAAATAAGTACGAGCTAGGTTTGGAGGTGTATGCCTGTGGTTACAGCATTTGGGAGTCTGAGGCAGGAGGATCTCTGTGAAGATGGGCCAGCTTGGGCTACATAGTGAGCTCAAGGCCAGCCTGGAATACATAGCAAGACCCTTTCTTAATCAACCAACCAATCAACCAATCAAACGAGTAAATAAAGACAGTTTTCAAGATGTTCATGGAATGACATTTTTTTACATTTTTCGACTAGTTAGGACAAAAACATTACAATGATTGGCTTCTTTCATTTAGTTACATAAATAAAATTTTTATAAATATCTCTTTATAAACAATATAAATAGCTTTACAACATAAATACACTTATGCATGACATGAATTTACAAACAGCAATGTTTTACAGCTGGTTTTGTCAGTCTCTTAAAAACTGTCCCTTGTCATCAAGTTGGTGTAGGTGTGTGTTTCATGTATATAATATATATATATAATATATAACTTTTTATTTTTCATTTCCAAGAAAAAGACAAACAATAAAATCATACCCTCCCCTCCCCAAATAATAATAAAACAGCTGGTGTTGTGTATTCCCAGTACCAGGGGAAAAAAAAAAAGAAATGTGAAAGCCACATCAGATTGGAGGTGTTTCCAGATGCCGGCGGCCGGTGACCAAGGATGACCTCCGTGCAGAGCGACTCCCAGTCCTGAAACAGAGCACACAGCACACTCAGTTCGGGCCCTTGCCCTGTGGGGTGCTTCTAGAACCTTCCTCCCCTTCCTGTGCAGCATGAGACCTGTCCGTCTGCCTGGGCCCCACAGGCCCCCGACGAAGGCCTTCCTGGCAGGGGAAGAGCCCCTTTCCAGGCCGTGCCCTCTGCTGGCCTTGGCGCTGGTCACTCCAGCACAGGTAGAACCAAGATGTCGCCAGGCCTCTTCCTGCCCCTACCCAACTACGGCCAAGGCCTGGGCCAGCGCTGGAGAGGGCTGGTGATGCAAAGGGGGGCACTCACACTATTTCTTATTTTTTGCTACAACACAAACCCTTACGGGGTTGCTTGCCTCTGATCTGTGTGTCTGGTGACCACGCAGGCACAGAAAATAGAGATGTCTAGGGACTCAGGGATTCTGACCTTGATCCCTGGGCGGCCCTGGGTAGTTTTGAGCATCGCTTTCCTCACCAGTAAAATGGGTAACAGCCACCTCCCAGGGCGGGTGTTGGGATGCAGGGCCCACGTGTTAACCCTTGGCAGTGACTGGGTCCTGGTCGCCACTCAGTGGGCAGCACTTCCTTCCCTCACTGGGGCCCCTGGGGAGCAGAGAGGCCTGGGCCAGCTGGGGATGGGCAGCCTGGCTGGCTTGGGGGTTTGGGAGGACCCGACAGTGGGAGGGCACTGCGCTCAGCCCCTGGCCTTGGAGCTGTGACCCAAGCAAGCAAGGTGCCCTCCTCCTTCCTGAAGGACAGCATGCACACAGGGACCCTGGGCCAGAATGGCTTGGTCAGTGCTCCCCATGGGCTTCTCTGGCTGACCCCGTGTTTAAACAGATGGTGGATGTCTGTGATGTGCCTGGGGCCTGGGGGCAAAGTGTTCATTGGGGTTCCAGCTGTGCCTAGTGTCTGTCATTAGCATTTTATAATCAAGACCTATAACTACCAGCGACAGTCATTATGGTGGCGCTGAGGCCAAGTCACCCCAAGTGGAGAAATGGACACAGCCTCGAAAGAGTTTCCATCTGTCTTTCTTTCAAGCCTAGGCCGCGCATCTTCATCCGGGAACTGGCCTGCTGTCCCCCTGGGGACAGGCACAGCGAGCAGAGGGGAAGCCTAAGGCTGTTGGCAGCGGTACTCATCCAAGCTGAGAGAACTTCCAGGGGTCTGGCGACCTCCCCGGTCAGAGGTCGAAGTCTTAGCATCTGGATTCCTCCTACCTGTATCTCAAGCCACTCACATGGGCACCTCCAGGGTAACACGCGGGCCCAAGAACGAGGCACCTTCGAGAAGTGTTTCAGCGCCAACCCAGAGAAGGTCCACTCACTTCTGTTTAGATTCTAAAATCTGAGCGTGGCGCTTGAATCACAAACTGAAAATGCTGTCTCAGTCTCCATCTCTTCACTGTTTTGAGACAGGAGTGAAGAGAGCAAAGGCACTGTACCGGTAGCTCTGAAGCCTGCCCCTAAGTGCCCATGCAAGGGAGGGTCAAGGTGACAGCCTCTGCAGAGCTGGGAGCAGCACACGGCCCCACCAAAGCTGGCTGCAAGTGGAGGAAACGGGGCGAGGAAACTCGGGCAGGCGGCAGGTGGCAGGGCTGCCAGGAGGAGGTGTGTGGCTCCCTCTGGGCACTGACAAACATTGCCAAAAGCCCCATTGGGGGTGGCACAGGTCACGCTTGCCTTAGGCCATTGTCTGGCCCTGAGGTTGGCATGAGTTAATATGGGGACAGGAACAGGTCCAGAAACCACTGGTACCTCCTGCAAGACTGAGATGTAAAAAAGGCTTGGGCAATGCACTGGAGAGGGGCTCTTGGTTCCCCCACTGGGAGAAGGCTGTGGCCACTGACCAGCTTCCCTGCCTGGCTGCCAGCCCCGGGCAGGGGTCAGTGCGAGGAAGCAGCAGGGCCCAACCCTAATGACCTCCAGTGTCCATGTCAGACGTTATTCCATGCGGACCGGAAGGCTATGGGAATGTGGGGGGGGGGGGTTCTGACACAGCGAGCTGCCAGCAAGCGGTGCCTGGGAGGGCAAGGTCTCCACTCCTGCAGGAGGGTGAAGGGGCCCCGGCAGAAGCATCGAGCCCCAAGCACAGTTTGGACAGGGGCCAGGGTGGGTGAGAAATTCCACTTGGGACCTATTAAGTTTGAGATTGGGGCAGGAGGTTAGGTTTACAGTAGGCAGTTCGTTTCCCTGCCATGAAATCGGGTCACGAACACCAAGCTTTGCCCCGCAGCAGCATCAGCACCCTGGACAGACCAGTTTGCCCACAGCCAGTTTAGAGAAGGGCTGAGGATCAGGAGCCCCAGGCTGAAGGGCGTCTGGAGGCTGCCAGCTGAGCTACTCTGTGCTACGTGGGGCGGCCGTCTCCCCCTGACGCTTGGCCTCCCTCCCGGACGCCCTGCCACAGTTTCCGTCAATCCCTCACTGGCCGTCGGGCCAAGGCTGCTAGCCCACCCATGGTGGTAGTGGGTGACCCCACAGGCCTGTTTCTGCTTCTCCGGAGGAAGCCAGATGGCTCATCCAGGCTGAGCCGTCCCTAACCTTGCCTAGTTTCCCTAACCACTTTGTCCTCCACTTCCTTCATCTGTAAAATGGGATGATAAATGGGTGGTGGGCAAAGCTTGGCACACACTCGATCTCATGCCAGGGTCGTCTGGCCCCACTCCGAAGGCCGGCTAGGCTGCGCACCGGTCCCGGGCCCACGCATTAGCGAGGAGCCGGCCCAGCCTAAGCGGGCAGGGTTCGGTTCAGTTCGGTTCCGCAGGGCACTGGAGCCTTGAGAGCGGGGCGCCCGGCGGCCGGGTCAGGAGTACTCACCGCCGCCAGGGGGCGCCACACTAACATCCCAGGCCGCTCATGGAGCCGATCCGGTCCAGCTTGAGGCCGAAACAGCCTTTGGACAAACCCTTCTTGTTGCCTCCTTTGTATTTGCGCGCGTTGGGGTGCTCGTGCAGAAGGCGGCCCCACGCCCCCCGTGACTTGGTGTCCACGCGCAGGTCCCGCAGTAGTCGTGACCGGTCGCCCTTGGGGTTGGCACCGCCACCCCCGGGGATCTTATCGCCCTTCTTCTGACCGCCGCCGGCAGCCTGGGGCTCGGCCAACTCCTCCCCCGGCGGAGTTCGCTGGCCCTGTCGGAGAAAGAGGGGCAGGTGAAGGGACCACGGCTGCAACGCGGGCGTTTCGCGGGCCCAGATGCCCCTGCCACCTGCGTCCTTGCCGAGCTCGGAGCGCGCGACTGCTCAGCGCGCATCCACCTGCCGTGGCTGCCCGCTCCTTCGGGGAGCCCCAGGCCTCCACTCCTTCGTCACTTGCCGAACTGGCCACACTGGACGGAGAGGCTGCACATGTGCAGAGGCCGGGGGACCCCCTGAGTCTGGGCTCCCAGGGCAATTCTCGGGGGACCCTGCTGCGTCCCTGCTCTCTCCGCTCGCCCCTGAGCGCAGCAGCCTCGCAGACCCAGGGCCCCCTCCCCTCGCCGGCCCAGCGTCCTCGCGACAGCACCCACCTTCGGTGGCGCCCCGGGCTTGGCTTCGGAGGGCCGGAGCGAGAGTAGTGTGAGTAGCAGGGCGCAGGCGAGCAGCTGGGAGAGGTGCATGGTGCCGCTGGGGCCGGCGGACGGGGAGCGGGCTGCAGGAGAGCGCGAGTCCCAGTGCTACGCGGCGCCAGCTGGGTGCGCTGTGAGCTCGCGGCTGCCCTCGCGTCTTTATAACCCAACCTGCCGCTGACGTCATCTCCCCGCCCACTCGGCGATCTGGGCCAATGGCATCGCGCGCGCGGGCACGCGGCCTCGCGGAGGGCCTGGAGGAAGCCGTGGGGGCTCCCCCGGCCCCCACCCCCATCCCAGCCCGGAGGACCCCGCGGCGCTGCGGGCTCCCTGGGGCTGCGCTCGGGGCTGCGGTCGGAGCTGCCCCGCGGCGCGTGCTCTCAAGCCGCAAGGCACAGCGCGCGGCAGCCCGCAAGCTCCGGTCCTCTCAGGGCAAGGTGCACCCGCGGGAGCCTCGCCACGCGCGCCCTACCCGGGAGGAGCGGCACCCTCGCTGCAGGTGCAGAGACCGGTTCAGGGAACCAAGCCACCCAAGTCACACAGCCAAAAAGTTGGCGCTGCCAGGAATCCACGCAGACCCGCCTTGTCGCCAAACTTCCCCGGCCCCGGCAGGCATGGGCTGGCACGGCGCCCTCGCGTGTTCTTGCTCTTCAGGGCGGGAGCAGACTTCCAGGCCGTTAGGCTGGAGACGCGGAGGAGGGGCAGGGGCCCGGCGGGGAGGCGCAGGAAGGCCAGGTGGCGCGGGCGGAGGGGCTGCAAGTCTTCCACACTCGGGAGCGCGAGCGTCCGGCCAGCCCGCCGCTGGAGCGCAGCGGGGTGGGGGTGCGCGAGTGTGGGCCGCGCAGACGGCGAGGGCCTGGGATCCGCAGTCGGTGTCCGAGCGCCAAGTCCGGTCTGACCCGGGGTGGCTTCGAGGGCCTGCAGCCTGGGCGGCGCTGCAGTGCCCCGGCCCGTGCCCAGCCTGGCCTCCGAGAGCCGTGACGAGGCCCCCTTCGCGGTCTGGGCTGTCGAGGGCCGCTCATCTCTGCCGCTCTCGACGTGCTTTCCTGGGCTTGGACGTCTGGGCACTTCCGCCTCCGTGGAGAGCCGGGGATCTTGGGGACAGAGCGAGGGGCAGGGATCTGTGGCCATTGCCGCCGCGCAGGACGGGGGTCGGGAGGAAAGGAACCGGCTGAGACCAGGCTCGGGGCAGCTCCCAGCGATGCAGGGGACCCGCGGGAGGCGGGGCTGGGATGGGCTTTCTCGGGGTAGCTGGGGTCTCCAGGAAGCCGGCGAACCAGGCGCTCGGGCTAGCTCTGGCAGCGGCCAGGTCCTGGAGCACAGGAAGAAGCTGGTGCCTCTGTCTTCTCTCCCGCCCTTCCCTCCTCCTTCTCACTCCTGCGCCCCAGTAGGAGACTCAGAGGGAGAGCTTGCGGGGCTTTTCCCTCAGGCAGTAATGCTGGAACGCGCTCTAGGTTTGGGACAGCAGATCCCAGCTCTGCAGGACCCCACCCCGCGCAGCACCCGGGATTGCCTTTCCTCCTCACGGGGACACCAGGGAGTGATAGCGACTCTTTCATCTGGGGGAGAGGAAGAGAAGGAAGAAGGTCGGACCTTCCGCCGGCTGTGGAAATTCCATCTCCTTTCTGCCTGCTGGACAGAAGGGTGGTGCCGTCCAAACTTCTTAGAGACCGGCTTTACCTTCACCAGTTTTAAGAGCCACGCAAACTGACTCTAGAGTCAGGCACTGGGGCGTCGTCCGGGGTACAGAGCGACGTCCTCTAAAAGCCCTCCAAGAAGGGGAGGTTAGGAGCTTCCGGTGCTCATGGCTACCTCCTCTGGACGTCTGGGGGCTGGTCCTTCCTGTTTTCGTGTCCCTAGACATGCTTGGTGATGGTTCCTTTCTGTCTGATTTTTATTTTTTATTTTTTTTTTGAGACAGAATCTCACTATGAAATCCAGAATGGCCTTGAACTCACTGTGTACCTATGCTGGCCTCAAACTTGTGGTGATCCACCTGCCTCAGCCTCCCGAGTGCTGGGGTACAGGCGTGTGCCAATTTGGGGCAGAGGAGGTCCTGGAAGTGTTAGGTGCGGCGTAAGGCGTCCCTGGTGGGCTGTGTGCAGCCTCACTCCACAGGTCCTGCGCCGGGCTGCGGGGATCTAGAGGGAGAGAGAGGAGAGGTCCCGGTTCCCTGGGAGCTCCCTACTGGCCTGTGTTTGTGACCCTTTTCTCCCTTTCCCTCCGGAAATCTGCTCCTTCTAGCCCTGACCCCAGAGGGCCTGGTGGGGACAGTTGACGCACTGGGTAGCTGAGGTGAGCATCCGGGACACTGTCCGGACTGCCCAGTGTTAAACTCTGCCTGACGGTAAAGGAGGGAGACAGGCCCCTGGGCCTTGGGCCTGGCAGCTCGGTAGTGAAGCCTGCCGTCCTCACATCCACTTGTAGCTGGGAGCACCCCTTCAGCTCCCTCAGGACCCACTGGAGAGGCCCAGCAGCCAAAGTGCCACCCCAAGAGACTCCTCTCCCAGCCCGGGCAAGCCAGGTGGGCTTCCTGGAGAGGGAAGTGTGCCAGGCTGGTGGGAGGCCCGGGAGGCCCGGGAGGGCCCAGCCCCCAGCCCCCAGCCCCCAGCCCCCAGCCCCCTCCAGCGGTGGGTGGCAACAGCGCCCCCTCCTGGCCCTGGGGGGCAGCGGCGGGTTCTCAGCCCCGCAGAGGAGGGAGGGCTGCTGGGCTGCCCATCTGCTTTCTCGGCAATTATTTCATCCCAGGGCTCCTTCCAGCTGCATAACTTCCCAGCGAGGACACGAACAGGCAATGAGCGGTTCCCGAGGAGGCCAGGCAGGGAAATTGCCGCGGGAGCCTAGCCAGGACCCATCTCTGCGCAGGGCCTTGGGTTTCAGCACCTGTAATTGGGAAAGGGCCGCCCTTGCCTCCTGGACGGGGGCGGGGGGACCTGGCGCAGGCAGCAGGAAGCAGCTGAGGCGGACAAGGGAAGGGAACGCACCGCACGTCCACACTCACAGGCGGGGGCCCAGGACCATTGGGTGGAGCAGGCCCTTGAGGGACAGAGGCCTGGCCAGGTCTCTGTGGCGTCTGCACCTACCAGCCTGGCCTTAGGAGAGAACTGGGAAAGGCAGAAATGCCGGGAGGGCTCACCCTCATGGTGCCAGGAGTCCTGACCCCAGGACTCCCCCACCTGACCCTTTCCCAGTGGCACTGCCATCACCTGCTCCAGATGGCCTGCATTCAGAGCTTAGCCCTCTTTTTTTCCCTTTCTTGTGGAAGAAGAGAAGACAGGTCCTCCACAGATAGGTTCTGGGGAGCAACTGCTCCCCATCTGGCTGTCAGCAGGCAGGTGAAGGGCAGGCATTGAAGCCAAGCCTGAGGAAGTGGGCTCAGAACCTCAACATCTGTCCGGAGCCTGTACTTGGCCCCTCGCAGAAGGAATCATGCAATGGGCTCGCCAGGTCCTGGGGTTGCCAGTCAGCTCCAGGGACCCCCGGTTCTGTGTGCTCTGCACATCTATCCCGAGAGCTGTGGCCACTCACTGCTCCCTGGTGAGGGGTCATCTTCTGAACTGAGGATGCCAGGAAGCAGCAGCAAGAGAGACACGACTTCGCAGATGCTGACGAGGGTTGGCAGGGGGCTTCACACAGGCGGAGAAGTGCTTCTAAGCCTGAAGTTCATAAATTATTTCAAAAACCATTATAGTGACCGTGAAGAGTCTCTGGGCCCGATGTGTGACATCACACAACAAACCTGCCCCCTGGGATTGCCCAGCAAGTTCCCTGGTGGCACAGCCTGGCCTTGACAGGGAGGAGTCCTTCCCCCCAGCTGCCCGCTGTCCGCTGTTCAGGGGACTCCTGCTTTGCCTAGTGGAGAAATCGTCGAGGGAGGAAGCCCTAGCTCAGAGTTGAGTAGGGTCTGGACTTCCTGCCAAGCAGCTGATCAGGGGTCTTGGTCTTCACAGAGGTGCTCTAGGGCAGACGCTGTGTGGTGCAGACCCGTGTCAGCAGATGTTGCTACCTGGCATCTCTCCCCAGTGGAGGAGCTGAAATCCCAAGTGCCCGCTTTCCCAGGGGTCCTTGCTGCCCACACTGGGGCAGGTGACCCGGTTGGCCCAGTCCCAAAGCATCAAGCCTGGCTTTCCAATCGAGTGCCACTGTCTCAGAGAGACCCTTAGCCCCTGAACGGTCCCCAGGGAGCCTGTGCCCTGGATGCCCGTCCTTGACCTGTCTCAGTTCACCCTTGGAACAGTGGGTCTGCCTGAGCCCCGCCCCAGCCCTGTACACAGGTGGGGACATCTGGGACCACCCTGGCTTCTCCCCTCAGTGATGGGTGGCAGGGCGAAGGGGACAATGCGTGGGGAGGCGAGCTTGGGGGACCAGGTGGTTCTGCTCCGGAAACAGCAAAGCGAATCCTGAGAATTGAGTCCAGGCTGACTGAGCAAGTGCTGTTGTCTTTAAAAATCATGTTTTAAATTATTTGATGGGGATGATTAAAGGTCTTGTGCTGCCTCTATAGAATTAGATACTTCCTGAGTTAGACAGTTCCTGGAGCCCTCGAGGAGGTGAAATGCGCGCACCATATGCTCATCCACATGACTGAACTAGGCAAATATTTCTAACTTCAGCACCTCTTACCCCATCAGATCCAAATGTGTTTCTCAGGGTGAGCAGGCTGAGCTCAGGCAGTCATCGAGGCCAGGGAGGAGCTCTCAGAAAACCCAGGGGCCAGTGGTGGCTGAGCTGCAGGAGGCCATGGGGGACCTCAGCCTGCGAGCAGAGCTGGGAGATGCGCCTCCTTCAGAGTCACTCCTTCCCATGACCCCTGGACCTGGCTCCAGCCCTCCAGCTGCCACTGTGTCTGTGTCCTTGGTTTCCTGTCTGCCTTAGGCTGCAGAGAGCAGGGTCTCACAGGGGCTGCGGAGCTAGGGTTGCTCCCCAAGAGCTTTGGGGGTAAAGCCCCTGAAGTAGGACGGGTGATCATTGAACTCGGTTTCTGGCTGGTAGGCTTGGCTAGGAATGGGAGGCTGGCAGGACCTTCTCCAGAGTGACAGGGGCTGAGGAGCCCTGAGGCTGTGCTCACCCTGAGGGAGGCCCTGGCAGCTTCAGCACTGAAGCCTTGCAGCCCCACGGCTCCCTGAGCATGTCACCATC